CTTTGACCTAAAGCCTCATCTACTAAATTATGCATTTGTAAATAAATTCATACAAATTCAGATCTACAAAACCAAATTCAATCATAAGTCTTCAGATGCAAAGGTTTTTACAATCATGAGAAACATAAATTGCTAAGTGTGTTTACAAAGGTTCTTATAGGAATTAAATGGCTTGTGAGTTATTAAACAACTTAAGCAAAATAAATGTACATCTAATTTTGTCATGTTATAGACATTTTGAACAATCTTACCTGCTATGTAGAGAAGTATGACTCCAGCAAAACTCAAAGTGATGTTGAACTTCATACTTCCGTTCTTGTCTGTGATCTGACTGCTGTTTCTCGACTGTCGGGTTTCTGATGAGATGGAAAGCACCCCACCACTACGTTTTTACAGGTGTGATCGAAGTGATGAAGTTCCTACCAAATCTAGCATTCACATTCACAGACAATTTTATACATTTAATCCACAGTCCATCTCCATATATAGTGCCAGTATACGGTAATGGATTGTGGATTAAATATATAAAAATGTGTGAATGTGTAATGCAATTATGTAATGCAAACAATGAGCAAATTTCCATAAACACTGAACTTTCTAAAAAGACAATCTTTATTTTAAAGACCCAAGACCAGATGCTCTGCACTGACATTGTATTGCCCTGTTTATGAGTTGGTGCTTTATCTAATCAGAGAATGTACTTGCATGTACTTTCATAATTCTAACCTACTTACATAGGTACCTCTATATCGCCACAATGTGAGAAAGACACTATTCATACTCAAAATACCAGAACAGTCAATCATCGTTAAAGAGTGTTCTGTTAACAGCATTTCAGACCTGGAGGTATATGCAACATTATGACCCTTTGAAAAAATTAGAAGTATGAAAGTGGAGTTTTTACAAGAAGTGGATGATCGCTGGTTTCTCCACAGTCACACGACAGGTAAAACCAGATGACTTTCTAGTAAGTCACAGTTAGTCACATTATATTGGGGGAAACAATGAAGATCTTTTTTAGAAACATACTCTGTATTTGCAGAATAAACAAATAATTCTTATAAGCATAGAGAACATCTGTGGTTTGTAATGAGCACAGTTTGACCATCATGACCAGGCCCGGATTGGCTAATCAGGAGCACAAGTTTTTTTTGTTGGAGATATGCAAACAAAAAATAAGAGATAAAAAATGAATAATAGAAAGCGCAAAGGCGGTGCTGAAAAGGCCAGAATAAAAAAAAAGAAAAAGAAAAGAAAGAAAGCTCTAGAAAAATACAATGAATTACATGGCAATATTGCAGATTTACAGCCTACTGGACATGTAGAATATGTGCCACTGTTGCTACATCATTTGTTGTAAAGCTGAATCTGATCTTCCTTGAGTTTCCTGCCGGTCCTTAAAATTTCAGTCCCCGCTTAAAGCACTCATAGTTTCAGATCGACTGAATCACGCCTTGACACGCTCTTTGTTGTGAAAATGAGCTGTAGCCTAATGCAAAATTACACCCATTTGCACATCATGAACAAACGTTTAGAAATACATTAATTCAACCCCGATAGCAAGGTAGCATTGATACAATGTTGAGTTTCTTGGTTCATCATCTTGGTTGAGACTGATATTTCAATATTTATACTTACGCTCAGGTGCGTTTTTTGGTATTTTCGCCTAAATTTGACATACTCAAATTCAAATGTTTACCCTACACACACACAATGGAGGAAATTTTAAAAAATGGTTTCATTGTGTGTTATAAATAATCATACTCAAAATATGAGTGTAATTCTTTATAAATAACATTATATATTTTTCAAATATTACAATAAACACAAAAAAAACATAGGCGCTTTTGGAGTTTTAAAACAAATTATTTTTTTGAAATTCTGTAATTCAGGTTCTATTAGGTCTATCACAATCTAAAATAGAATCCACATCCTCCAGCTTTATATCATTCCATTTATGTGCATTCTGTATTGGGATACTGATTCAAAGCATCTTCTTACCTCATCAGCTGAGCCATCCCTGTATCCAACTACCTCTTCCTGCCAACATCTTTGCATCCCTGGACCAGAGCTGAGCTAAACCGATAGCCGCGGCTGCTATGACCTTCAGAGCGTGAAATAAACAAATAAATGATCATTCACACAGCGCTGTAATGATTCCATGTATATTTACTGTATATTTACTGAAATGCATAATGTACAGTCCTTTTCTGTCAATAAACAGTTTTATCAGATTGTTAGCTGTGCTATCACATTTCAAAATAAAGATTCAAAGATCACAAACGGAGAAAACACGCTGATAAAGCCTCACCAGACGCGCGTCCATTCCTCTCCACGGCGCCGCTGAACGTTCTTCATCATATACAACTTGGTGAGATTGCATTAGGAAGACTGCTTAGATTATATAATAGAGTGTGGGAGGAAGGACAACTTCCAAAAAGTTGGAAGGAAGCAGTTGTAGTTCCTATTAGGAAACCAGGGAAAGATCCTGCAAAACCTAATAGCTATAGACCAATTGCGTTGACATCCCATATAGGTAAAATTATGGAACGTATGGTAACAGACAGACTGGTCTATTTTTTTGGAGAAGTGGGAATGAATTGATTCTTATCAAAGTGGATTCAGGAATGGAAGAGGGACAATGGATCCAGTACTATGCCTGGAAGATGAAATAAGGAAATCCCAGGTTAATCAGGAATCAGTGGCGGCAGTCTTCCTTGACGTTGAGAAAGCGTATGATATGATGTGGAAAGAGGGGTTGTTGATTAAGTTACATCTTTTGGGAATAGGAGGGAGGGCCTTTAACTGGGTAAAGGATTTCCTGTATGGACGCTCTATTCGGGTGAGAATTGGGAAAGAATTATCTGGTAGTTATATGGTAGAAAATGGACCCACCTCAGGGTAGTGTTATCAGTCCACTGCTCTTTATCATCATGATAAATGATGTATTTTCAGATTTAGGGCCTGGGATTGGAAGATCGCTGCCTGTTTGCAGATGACGGGGCCTTGTGGAAGAGGGGAAGAAACATAAAATATACAGTAAGTAACGTCCAGGAAGCAATAGAACAGGTAGAACGATGGTCAATGAGACGGGGTTTTAGATTTTCAAAGGAAAAACTCAAGTGGTTTTCTTTACAAAGAAAAAGATAGGGGAAGAGATTAATCTTAAATTATATGGACATGTTCTGGAGAAAGTAGAGTCCTTTAGGTTTTTAGGAATGGTTTTTGATGCTAGGTTAACATGGGCAGGTCACACAGAGAAAGTTTTAGTAAAGTGTAAAAAAGTATTAAATGTGATGAGGTGTCTGACAGGAGTGGACTGGGGGGCGAGCAGGAAATCATTGAGGGATATATATGTTTCTATGTTGCACTGATTAAGTCTGTTATAGATTATGGTTGTATAGCATATAGAGATGCAGCAAGAACTACACTGGCTAAATTAGAAGTAATACAAACCCAAGCACTTAGGATATGTAGTGGGGCTTTTCGGACATCACCTGCAGTGGCATTGCAATTAGAGACCCAAGCACTTAGGATATGCAGTGGGGCTTTTCGGACATCACCTGCAGTGGCGTTGCAAGTAGAGATGGGTGAGATGCCTTTACATTTAAGGAGGGAACAGTTGGCAGCTAACTATTGGGCAAACCTACAAGGACATGGTAGGTCCCACCCCACTAGAGTAGTAATGCAGGTATGCTGGGAGCATGAAAGGGTTAAAAGTCAGAGTTTTGGATGGGTATGTGGTGCTATTGGAAAAGACTTGGGTTCGGAGGGTATGGAATTTAGTCCGACAGTTCCGTTGCCAGTCAGACCACCTTGGTTGTTTGTGGAACCTATAGTGGACATGCAGATATTAAATAGTAACTTAAAGAGTAGCGTGTAGGTGGATTTATGTGAAGTGTTTTGTAATTATCTGAATGAGAAGTTTAATGGGTATCTGGATATTTACACAGATGGGTCTAAAGATCCTCAATCTGGGCAAACAGGGGCTGCATTCGGAATACTAAAAATGGGAATTAAGGTACAGAAGAGACTGTCTGATCAAGTATCTGTATTTACAGTGGAGTTGATAGGTATCGGGTTGGCTCTACAGTGGGTAGAAGAAACAAGACCAGATAAAGCAAAAGGTAATTTGCTCAGACTCTAGTGCAGTCCTAAAGATTTTGCAATAATTTAAGTCACAATCAAGACAAGACATAGTATAGGAGGTACTAGAATGTTACACAAGGATTTCTCAGTTGGGGGTGAAGGTAAAATATACATGGGTACCAGCACATGTGAGGGTTAAAGGAAATGAAATGGTAGATGGTTTGGCAAAACAAGCCAGTAAAAGAGAAGTTGTTGAAATATCAATCTCAACAAGTAAAGCAGAAGCTAAATCAAAAATCTGGATGGAAATTATGAAAAAGTGGCAGAGTAGTTGGGATAGAGAGGAGAAAGGGAGACATTTATACAGAATACAACAGAAGGTTGGGACAGGGAAGATCACTGGAAGGAATCGAAGGGAAGAAATAATTTTCACTAGGTTAAGGATTAGACATTGTGGGTTAAATAAGTGTTTACATATCTTAGGTAAGCATATATCAGGAAGATGTGAATTTTGTGACAGTATTGAATCTGTTGAACATGTGGTACTTGAATGGCAAAAATATGAGAGAGAAAGGATAAAGATGAAAGAAAACATAAGGAATTTGGGGGTGCAAGGGAATTCACTTAAGGAACTTCTGGGAAAAACTTCAAATTATTTTAGTACTCATTTATTTAGCTTCCTGAAGGACACTGATATAGCAAATAGGATATAGAATACAGTTTTGGAAATCATTATTATTATTAATTAAAGGGGAGGGGGGAGAAGAGAGTTGGAAGTCTCCCTTCTAGTTATAGTCTGTCTAGCTCCGGTTCACACTCCAGTACAGTAGGTGGTGGTAATTCACCATTGAAGTTGAATGCCAACCGCCGTTAAACATCAAGGAAGAAGAAGAAGAAGAAGAAGAAGAAGAAGAAACCCACAGTAGATGGCGCTAATGTGAAAATACAAGCTGGCAATAAAGAAGAAGACTCTTCTGAGGTGAAGCGAGCAGTTCACGGTATTCCACATATACAACCATCAAACACACTTATATTGTTTGTTTAAGCGACTTTTACAGGCTCATTTCTATGTTGTTTTCATCGGGTTCAGCGCTACTTGTGCGTCTTTTCTGGCGTCTTCCTACTGAAATAAACATTTAGTGCAACAGCAGTGAGCATGTGAGGAAAATAGGTTGAGTTCATTCAGACTCCCTTTGGATCTTCTCTACTCTCCTCTAATTTTTGCCAGATCAAATCTATTAGTTATTTTACATAGTTAAAATATACTGGAACAGATTCTGCTAAATACTTTGAGGCTCATCAATATTAACAGAGCTGCTGATTAGACTCTTTATTTCATGTCAATAGTTCCTGTTTTCACCGCATTTATTATGCTGATGTCTTCAGATCTCCTGTAAATTGCCACTTGAAGATAATTTCATAATTTCAACAGACTGAGGGTATTTGTTTGTTACAAATATGTACATTAATTCTTGTTTATGCTTTCAAATGTTTTCTTACCATTTTTTTTATATTTTACAGTGGCCGAGAGAGCTCAACGCACTGCAAATAGAAGAAAAACACCTGCAAATTAAGAAAACAACTTTGTACAACACATGTGCTGCAAATGCTTACAACACAACCAAATAAATAAGAAATAAAAAAAACCCACCTGCAAATTAAGAGAACAACTTCATCAATTTGACAACACACGCGCTGCAAATGCTCACAACGCAAACAAACAAAGAAACTCGCTGCAAATAAAATTCTTTATTTGTTTGTGTTGTGAGCATTTGCAGTGCGTTTCTTTATTTGTTTGCGTTGTCAATCTGATGAAGATGTTTTATTGATTTGCTGGTGCTTTTTCTATTTGCATGTGTTTTCTGAAGTTGTAACGCATTGAGCTCTCTCGGCCACATACTATTTGCAAGAATTTACATTAAATTGTAATCTGATATGTTTCTTAATATATGACTGTTTTTGAATAAAGACGCAGAATAATGTTAGGATTAGTAATACAAATTATTTATGAATTAGCATCAGTTACTTTACGATGAATAGACAGACTGACATAAATGTTTAGAAGTGTCATTTATTATGAAAACAAACTCAGTAGCTGATATATTTTTTAATTTTGGCAGATTAGCTCTCCCCACAAGAACCCTGCAGAATGAAACGTGCTGAAGAACAAACAGGTTGGTATTTATTCTTTATTCCTCATTCATTCATGATGCTGAAGAACAGTCATGATTCATAGAGCCATAAATCATAAGATGTTCCTGAAATCCCTTTCATGGCATCCAACAATCTCTGCAGCGGAATAAAATACAGATAGAGAAACATAAAGACAATAAACACATGATTGCGACAATATATGGTTTATCTGTGTTCTTCAATCCATGCAAGGTATTTTTATAACAATAGAGTATATTTATAATGCAACAAAAATCAACATAGTCTTTATCACTTTGCAGAATTCTTAAGCAGGCTAACTGTTTTATTTTACATGTATTTTATATCTGGTTTAAAATTTGCAACAGTGTTACCAGAATTTTAGACAGTTTCAAAATAGTTTACAACATTCTTATTTTTTTTTAGGAATAAACAGTAAACACCAACATGTATGATGTAAATGAACTTTCCAGAATGGCTGACAGGGCTGTAAGCATAACTTACAAATCTGTAACAGTACACAAGCATAACGGTTAGAGCAGGGGGCAGAAAAATAAATATAAAACTGCTTTTATTTTCTTATTTCTTATTATTATTTTTTATTAAACAGGGGTCTGTTAAATAGTGTCTTTGCATTTAAATAAATTCAATTATAATTACAAAAAAAATCTGAGTTATTGCTGTAATATGGAGCCCTTTTTTGCACATTACTATAATATTAAAGGTTACCATTAACAACAGAGACCAAATTATTAAATTTAGTTACTATTTATTTTTATATATAATAATCAACACTCAAATAAAAACACAAGGCTGGTTTTGCATCAACTTCTAAATCTAATGATCAAACTATTTTTCTATTTCAATTCATTTTTTAAATATAATTAACAAAGTGGCTGTCATAACTTCTTTTCATTATGAATTTACATATATTAAGTAATTAAGTCATCACAAATAGGGCTGTGTATCGTCAGCAAAGTCACGATACGATATATATCACGATACTGAGGCCACAATATGATTGCTCTAAATTTCAGCAAAGCAGAATTTAGTAAAACAGCTGTTTATTAAACACTGCATACTACAGCGCCATTGCTAACTATAGGCAGAACAGACAGTTGCCCGCTGCATTAGGGCTGGGTTTTGACACAAATTTCACGATTTGATTTGATTAAATTTGGCTTTCGATTCAGTTTCCGATTTAATTCGATAATGATTATTTTTGATATATGGTACAGTACATGCCAAATTTTCTGAAGGACAAAAAATTCTCTCAACTAATGCTGTAAAATATACATGAGTCAGTTGGTACCACATTACTATACTGAAGGTTCAAATTAACTGATTTGAATACAAGCATTTAAATTACACTCAATGAAGATTTTATAATAATAAAATTACAATTACATAATTATATTTCTACTCTAATTCATTTCTAATTTTATTATTTTTTTAAAATGGTGGCTGTCAAAAAAACTTGATGGATTTATTCAAACATAAATTAAACATTGAACAACAGCAAAAAATGAAATGAAAATGCTGAATGCACTTGGCCGAAACCCGAAACAGCTTTTTTAATAATGATTTATTACTTTATTACATAAAATAATTCTGAAAGACCTAATTTAACTTAATAATTTTAATGATACTGAATAAAAAAAAAATACAAGCCAATAAAATAACCACATTTTTATTGAAAGTAACACACAGTGACGATGGTTAGAGGAAGAGCGAAACCTGTGCGCTGAATTATTTTCGGCCATTTTTCTCTCAGCTGAAAACTGAAAATGCCATTAAAATTATCGGCCGAAATTTCGGGGCATCCCTAGTTCTTTCTCACAGCGAAATTTGCTTTACTTTGTGTTTCTGGTGTCCCATATTTACATGCGTATACATGGAAGTCAGAAAAGGTTACTGTGACTGAACCTTAATAATTAAAATGTTTTTAGTAAAATAAATTAAATGTCGATCTAAAAGTTGGTGACAAAATATGACAGTAATATATATTTTAATGTTAATATCACGTTAGATAATTGTGTCTTTGATCAAATATATTTAATAGTTCTCACTACAGAAACATGGGATCTGTCTATAATATTTAAAAAAATACTTGAAGATCAGTGTACATGGAAAGTTGCAGGGACGTATAATCTATAAAAAGGTATAAAAATGATTGTAATATTTTATAGCAGTTGTCTGCTTTGTTACAGCAGGGCTCACTTTTATGTGTTCCTGTTTTTGAATTATTTTGATGTACTGAAAATGAAATTAACTCTAAACTTTTTCTTTAATTTCAGAGCTGATGGAAAAGAACGAGGAGAGTGAAGAACTGAGTGAAGTGGAGGAGGAACATCATGACAAACCTGGAGAAGAACCTTTAAGTCGCTCAAAGACCAAAAAGACATTTTTAAAGAAAAGAAGAGCCAAGAAATCTACAACCTGCACTCAGTGTGGAAAGAGTTTCAGAAGGAAATATAATCTAGAGATTCACATGCGGAACCACACTGGAGAGAAACCGTTTACATGCACTCAGTGTCGAAAGAGTTTCTTAACCAAACGTAATCTTAATGTTCACATGAGAATCCACACTGGAGAGAAGCCGTTCACATGCGATCAATGCGGGCAGAGCTTCACACAAAAACCAGCCCTTAATGTTCACATGAGGATCCACACTGGAGAGAAGCCGTTCAAATGTGATCAATGTGGAAAACGTTTCACGAGATCAATAAACCTTAAAGTACACATGAATATCCACACCGGAGAGAAGCTGTTCACCTGCACTCAGTGCGGAAAGAGTTTCACAAGGAAATATAATCTAGAGAATCACATGAGGATCCACACCGGAGAGAAGCCGTTCAGATGTGATCAGTGCAGAAAGAGTTTCTCAAGTAAACCAAATTTTGACGTTCACCTAAAAGTTCATACCGGAGAAAAGCCGTTTATGTGTGATCATTGTGAAAAGAGATTCTCAAACAAACAAAGTCTTCATGTTCACTTGAGAGTTCATACTGGAGAAAAACCATTCACATGTGATCAGTGCGGGAAGAGCTTCAGACAAAAACCAGGTCTAATGGAACACATGAAGATCCACACCGGAGAGAAACCGTATGTATGCGAACAATGTGGAAACTATTTCACATCCAAACATAGTCTTGATGCTCACATGAGAGTTCATACTGGAGAGAAGCCGTTCAAGTGTGACCAGTGTGGGAAACGTTTCACGAGATCAAGACACCTGAAAGAACACATGATGATCCACAATGGAGAAAAGCCATTCACATGTGATCAGTGTGGAAAGAGTTTCAGACGCAAACACAGTCGTGAGATTCACATGAGAGTTCATACCGGAGAGAAACCACATGTATGCCATCAATGTGGGAAGGGTTTCCTCCGATCAGCACACCTTAAATCACACATGAAAATCCACACTGGAGAGAAACAGTTCACATGTGATCACTGTGAAAAGAGATTCTTACATAAACAAAATCTAAAGATTCACATGAGGATCCACACCGGAGAGAAGCCGTTCACATGTGATCAGTGTGGCAAAACATTTCTTAGGGCATCAGTCCTGAAGGCACACCTGACAGTTCATACGAAGGAGAAACCGCATTCATGTTCTGTGTGTGGAAAGAGTTTTTCACTGCCGCAAACTTTACATGTACATCAGAAAACACATAGTGGTGTGAGAGAGTACATGTGCTTTGAGTGCGGGAAGACTTTTACTTCAGCAAACGGTTTAAAACTGCACCAGAGGATTCACACTGGAGAAAAACCTTACAAGTGTTCACACTGTGACAACACGAGATGTTCCACACTGGAGAGAAGCCTCACACGTGTGATCAATGTGGGAAGTGTTTTGCTATTAAAAGTTACCTGAAGATACACAAGAAGATCCATGCAGTGGAGAAACCAGATCACCGCAATCTGAAATCACAGTAAGTAGTTCATCTTTGTCAACAAAGTCTGAAATCTTGAAGTTAGTTTGGTTTGTGTGCTTAGAGATTCTTACACAAACAAAATCTTAAGAGACACATGGGGATCCACACCGGAGAGAAGCCGTTCACATGTGATCAGTGTGGCAAAACATTTCTTAGGGCATCAGTCCTGAAGGCACACCTGACAGTTCATACGAAGGAGAAACCGCATTCCTCATCATGTGACCTCCTTTATTTTACATTTTGTTCATAGAAATGTCATTCACTGCTGTAAATTGACAATTGGTAGATGTTTTCACACAGTGGCTCTCATTTATAAAACAAGCGTACAATTGTTTCCATGTGCAAATTGGCATTTATCAATGTGCAAATACTGTCTGTCAACAAATGCTGATGTTTCTCAGCTTAGAGGTCAATCAGCTTGTGTTGTGTAGGAAACAATGTGATTGCTTACAAATTACATGTCAAGCCTGTGCCATCTAGAGTTTTATGACCAAACTAGTGATTTATAACACAAATCATCTTCATGACATTAAAATAGATCATAATCGTGCACAGCAGTTGATGGGATTAAAATGACTATTGAACTCATCAGTGATCTTGATTTGGGGGTTTTCATCACTTTTCATTTCACATCTGTCTCTCATTTGAAATCTCACTTGATTTAATGTTTCTTTTAGACCTGATGGACATGAACCAGAGAGAAAAAACAGAAGAAGAAAAAAATTGTGAGCTGCACTCAGTGTAAAAAGAGACTGACATGGGTATCAGTCCTGAAGAAACACCTGAGGATTCACATAAAGGAGAAGACTCCTTTGTAATATTACAGCAGAAAAGACATGGCAGTGTGAGTTTAAGTGAAGAAAGTCCTTTATTACAGAAGATGAGCTGAAAGAGCACCAGAAAATTCACACTGGAAAAAACCTTTCAAGGCCTAGTTCAGGGAGCTGAAGAACAGGCCATAACATGTTTAGGGAATGTATTATTTTTTAACTTGTTCTTAATTGTTTTTCATAAGAACATCTAGTTTATCTTCCACTTCTACTCTTCCATGCATATGCAAGATATACTTTTGCAGCCAGCCACTTTGCTTCTCTTCATCTCTTGTAAATCCGTAAAGAGAGATCTGTCTCATTCAGATTAACTTTTACTTAATTTTTGTATTTGCTTCAAGTAATGATTGATTAAACACATTATTCCTATCAACAACTCATTGGTAATGTCCATTTTTATTTTATGCTCATTCTGTTCGTATCAAGAATAATTTTAGTTCTGAAAGCCATGAAGTTTGCCTATTATATTTCCTTTGGGGTTTTCCATGCTTAATTCTCAATTCAGGTTTTAAAATGCCTAAAATATATTTCACCACACACATGACTGACATTGAATGAGATTAACAGTTTCACTCTTGATATCCAGTGTCATACATACTCACACTGTCATTTCATAGAGTTTGTTCTAGTCAGATAATGTCTCCATTCACACCAGGAGGCTTCATGAAGTCAAAGCAATTATTATGAACTTTAAACAACACACGGATTGTACAAAATAAATTAATTACTGTCTCCATTTCACCACAGTTTTACACAACCAGCTGAAAGAGAGCAGATGGAATAAAGATAACTCGCTCGCGCGTCCCTCATTGTCTTCTGAGGAGAGGCGAGCAGTTCACGGTATTTCACATATTTACACAACCATCAAACACACTTTATACAGTCTGTTTACGCAAAATTTTACAGGCTCATTTCTGTATTGTTTTCATTGGGTTCAGCGCTACTTGTGCGTCTTTTCTTGCGTCTTCCTACTGAAATAGTGCAGCAGAGTGATTCTATAATTGCAGGTACATTTGGTGTCCGCCCGAAGGCATTTTTTTTCTGCTTTTTTCAAGTGGTTATATTTTTAATTATTTTAATACTGTGTTACTCATTATTACGAATTACAAGATGTTACAGTGCATAACAATAATATTTTTTGCAAAAAGAGTCTTAAATCATGAAAATCATAAAAATCATGATTTTCTTGTTGTCCGTGTCCGTGTTGTTGTAGTCAGTGCATTTTTTCCAACATGTCTCCTTGTGTAATCAAAATATTTTATTATACTTTTCTTTTGGTAATATTTCATTCATTTTATTTATAAAAGCCCCAAAGAGTCATTTACCTAATTCTACAGAAAAGTCTATGTGCTCTCTCAATAAGAAAATATGTTAATCTAAAAAGTTCTTACACCAAGAGTTATTTTATAAAGTGTCAAATCTGTTACCACAATATCAAAAGGAAAACAGATTTTTTCATTGATCACACTTTGTGTTATTTAAAAGTCTTTTAACCATTATTTCAGTAGTGCCATGTGCTCTTAGCATTTATGCTAGCAAGTGGAGTTTTTGGCAAAAAAAAAAATATAATTGTCAATTCTGTTACCGTCAAACTCTGTTACCAAGGTAGAGTAACAATGCTGACAATGAGGTAACAGAATTGACAGTCCATCGGACAATTCTGTCAATTCTGTTACTTAAAGGGTCAACTCTGTTTATGAACCATTTTCACAAAAAACTATAAAATTGTTGTTTAAAATCTAATAAACATCATTGATTTATTTTTGCACCCTTATAATATTTCAACAAAATATATTCTACTCTCCCAGGATCAGTAAACAGTCCTCCATAAAATGTGCTGCACACATCTGAATATTTTGGTTGAAGTGTTCTGGAACAGTGTTGTTAATACAACTTAACCACTGATTTCTAGTCCTGTCCTTTTTTGGAAGGCCAAACAAAGTAGTTTCGCTTTCACAACGAAACCGCGTCACACATGGAGGCCTAGAGTGAGCGGCGGCGGTCTACAGAGAGCAGAGGCCGGGGGCTAGTGTGAGGAACGGCCGGAGGGTTAGAGTGACCCCTTTAAATCTGCAAAGACTGAGTTTATTAAAGAGGAGAGAGAATATGGGAGATCCAGAACCCTGCAGAATATAACGCACTGAAGATACTGAAGAACAAAAATGGTGTTTATACTTCATTCATGATGCTGAATAACATTCATGCTATAAAGATTCGAGCGCTTCATCAGATTTAGATAAACACTTAAACTACGAAATGTGTACAAAAGTTACTTTTTTGACTTTCAACAAATTGAGGTTTACAAACTTTTATACTGATTGTTAATATCAGGCCAAATTAAATGTTTTTTTTGGCATTTATTTTATATCTGGTCCACAGTTTTTGCATCAGTGTTACAAAAACTTCTCAATATGGTTTACAACATTGTGATTTTTGTTATTTTTTCAGCAAATAAACAGTAAACACCAAGATGTATGAAGTAAATGAACTTTCTAGAATGACTGACAATGTTGTAAGCATAGCTTAAGCAAAATCTGATTTACAGTTACTGATAAAGTTGTATTTCTCATAAATTATAACAGTTATTCATAGAGATTATTCTTACAATAACAGTATTGATGAATGTGATCAGCACTGTACAGTTTGTGTGAAAACTGAGACAATGGATTGATGTGATTTTTTTTGTCCCATCATGCTGTATAAAGAGCGCAGATGATGTCACTTCCTGGGTGTCACAAATTTAAGAAAGGCTTTGTTTTTTAAAGGGAGGGAAATCATGTCAAAAGTAACAGGGTTGAGTTAAGCCTGTAGGACACAGATATTGCTAATAAAAAAATTCTATTTAAAACTAGTTAAAGCTGCAGTCAGTCTAGACTTTCAGCATGTGAAATTCTTGCAGCAGTTGTGAAATGGGTAGGGGTGTCGCGATATACCGGTATTGACAATAACCATGATATTCAAATCATGAAATATCGACATCGTGTTAATTTAGGGTGTGACAATATACCACAATATTTAAAATGAACAGGACACTTATGATAACACGACACACAAATAGCCTTCTCTGAACAGAATACCTCCTACTTCTTTAGACTAGAAAAAATCAGGCTACGTTAAATACTATTCATCAGTTAAAAATTAATGGTAAAATATCAAAGGACCCTAAAAAGATTTCAGAGTTTTGCTCCACCTTTTACCGTAAACTATATGCGTCACAATATGATGCTAAAGCCTCAAATGATTTCTTAAATTCGTTGGGAGAGATTAAAAAAATTAATAATTTAGATAAAGCTATGTGTGACCAACCTATTAGTTTAGAAGAAATAACCAATTCAATTCATAACTTGAAAAATAATAAGTCTCCCGGAACTGACGGTCTTACCTCAGAATTTTATAAGTTATTTGATGAGCAGCTAACCCCTTTTCTTCTTTTAGTTTTTTCTGAAAGTTTGTCTAAGTCCAACCTCCCATCTACCATGACTCAGGGGTTAATTATCCTTATTCCTAAGCCTAAAAAATATTTGACTATTATTGACAATTGGCGGCCAATTAGTCTTTTGAATAATGATTATAAATTAATTGCCTCTATATTTGCTAAAAGAATTAAGAATGTATTAGAATATATTATAGATGAAACTCAGTCAGGCTTTATGAAAAACAGGCATATTTCGAATAATATAAGGTTGGTTTTAGATATATTAGATTATTCATATTTAATTGATGAAAATAGTTTTATTTTATTCTTAGATTTTCGTAAAACTTTTGACACTGTGGAACATAATTTTTTATTTTCTAAATTTTATGGTTTTGTTGACTGAAATATTTATATATATATTGACAGTATCAGAGACTCTGTGAATAAGAAAGCTGTAAGAACTTTGAAAGTTTGTGAACTTTACAATATATTTATTTGATTTTATATATACGTACAAGTGTATGTATGTATGTATATCTTGTATTTTTGTTTTGAAGTTTTATACTTTCCTCCCCCTGGCAATTGTTTTTT